GATGTATGGGCATCATTTAACTGCCAAGGGGCAAACCTGGGACACTGTTTCAGGCTGTTGCCTAGACTCATTACCTGGACCTTTTAACTCTTACTGTTTTGTCACAAGGAGTGAGACTTTGTGTTTAGGGGTGGGACTCTATAATCTAACTGCTTTCTTGGTTTCTACTTGGTTATAAACATATATGACTTTCCTAATTCTTTGTACTACCTTCTTCTTTTTGAAATTTGGGTACTTGACCAAGCCACTGAGGAGGTTTTTCAGGTTTTAGGGAACAGGCTCTTCTTGGGGGCACATTGAGATCTTACTTTGTAGATTTTCCATTGACTCACTTCTTCAGCTCACTTGAGGGACATTTGCCCAGATGGTGAGTGAATAGTTTTGATCTTAAATGTGTCATCTACCAAAACTAATGCATATTTATCCTGATCAAGGCTGTTAAAATGCAAAATAAAATAATTTTACTTTTTATTCTTTGCATTGTGCTGTGCATTTTTCCTCTGAGACATGGACATAGAACATTAAAGCAGTTGTCTGTGTACAGGGAGAGTTACTGGTTAACAAGAAATATAAGCAATGAAACACAATATTTTAAGCTCTACGGAAAGGTTGTCAGAGCAATTTGGACCTGTCATACTGCTTAGGACAACCAACATGTTACATAAAATATATTTAAAAATTCTTGGGCAGCCGGGTGGCTCAGCCGTTTAGCGCCGACTTCGGCCCAGGGCATGATCCTGGAGACCTGGGATCAAGTCCCGCATCGGGCTCCCTGCATGGAGCCTGCTTCTCCCTCTGCCTGTGTCTCTGCCTCTCTATCTCTCTCTCTCTATGTCTCTCGTGAATAAATAAATAAAATCTTTTTAAAAAATTCTTAAAAGCATTAACGAATTAAGAATACAGTGAGGACGTTGTAAACCAAAATCTTGGAGAGGACAAGAACTCAGATAGATTAGCTTAGCACATAAAGCTGCTTTGGCTAATGGGTTTTGTTTTATTTTGTTTAAATCCAAAAATGACCTGTCAAACTCAACTACTTTGGCAACCTCATGGGGTTAGGAGGGATCAAAAGTACATACCTATGGCCCAGCAAAGGTAGAGACACCGGTAAGGCCACTTCCACTTCAAGCAGAGACCCCAAAAGCTATACCCTAGGATATGGGTAGACTTTGGAAATAAACTTGCAGCCTGGTTTTTACATTATCTAGGTGATCCAGGGAATCTCTGTTGATTAAAGTCATCCCAGACTAGTGGAACCCTTAACACCTTGCCAAAGCAAAACAAAATAGAACCTGTTTGGAGGGATTTGTCATCATCTCATGCCTCAAATTATTCCTATGAATAATTTTTACAATAAAATGTCCAAGACACAGTCAAAGGTAATGAGACACTCAAAGGAATAAGACACCATGAATAATAACCAGCAGAAACTGCAGAGAATGGAAAGATTCACAAAGACTTTAGATATTTGAGACTGTCAGGCTCAGACTGCTTCCTATGCTCAAAGAACAAAAGCCAAAGTTATAAATAAAACAGGAAATTGGAACTGTAGAAAATAAAATAGAAGATTTGAATAGGTACCAAATGAAAATTTGAGGTCTGAACAGCACAATAACTGAAATAATTCAGTGTGTACATTACATTAGATAGGATGTAGGAAAGTAGTGAATGAAAAAAATAGATCGGAAAAAGTAAAACAGTTTTTTAAAGCATAGATTTCTATGCTTAAATGGTAGAAAATTATGGACAAGAGCATTAAAAGAATGATCAGATATGTCATAACTTTATTTGGAGTCCCAGAGAAATGAGTAATGCTCATGCAATGAAGCTATATTATAGGGCCCCAAAATATATTAAATATGTTTGGCAAAAAAGTAAATATAGACAGATTTATAATCATAGTGGGGGATTTTAACTACTTTCAGAAATCAGTAGAGATTTAAGCAATGATTATCAGTTTTTACCTAATGAATATAAAAATAATTTGTATCCAACAAGTGCACAGTAATCATTCTCTGCACACATGGAACTTTTATGAAAAGTGACCATAAATGGATCAAACAGCAAGACTCATCAAATATCAAATTACAACAGTCATTCAGAGTATATTCTCTAATGACAATGGCATTTTTCTAGAAGTCAATAGCATGAAAAATTACAGGAAAATCCATATGTTTGAATTTTTTTTTAAAAAAATCATGTTTCTTTATGACTTTTACATTTTTTCTTTTCCTTTCCATTCTTTTTCCCCCAGATTTTCTAATTGTCTTTGGTTTTTGTTGATATTTATGAAAAAAAAAAAGAATAATGTGCCTTTAGTTAATCTGGAAACTTAATCATGTTTTATATTACTGAATTTCTCTATTTTCCCCAGATAATCGCTTCAAAAATATTGTGTCCTCCTTCTTTATCCAGGACTGTACGTTCTCTAAGCCTTTTTCATAGCTGTCATCCTGAGAATTTCCTCAATTGTCCTACTGAGTTAGGCCTTTAACTTGAAATTTCTTTTTTAATAGACATATTTAGGATTTCCTTGTTATCTTTGATGTTTCAAGTTAATGAGAATTTTTTTATAATAATTTTATTTTTTATTGGTGTTCAATTTGCCAACATACAGAATAACACCCAGTGCTCATCCGGTCAAGTGCCCCCCCTCAGTGCCCGTCACCCATTCACCCCCACCCCCCGCCCTCCTCCCCTTCCACCACCCCTAGTTCATTTCCCAGAGTAAGGAGTCTTCATGTTCTGTCTTCCTTTCTAATATTTCCTACCCATTTCTTCTCCCTTCCCTTCTATTCCCTTTCACTATTTTTTATATTCCCCAAATGAATGAGAACATATAATGTTTGTCCTTCTCCGATTGACTTATTTCACTCAGCATAATACCCTCCAGATCCATCCACGTTGGAGGAAATGGTGGGTATTTGTCGTTTCTAATGGCTGAGTAATATTCCATTGTATACATAAACCACATCTTCTTTATCCATCATCTTTCGATGGACACCGAGGCTCCTTCCACAGTTTGGCTATTGTGGACATTGCTGCTAGAAACATCGGGGTGCAGGTGTCCCGGCGTTTCATTGCATCTGAATCTTTGGGGTAAATCCCCAACAGTGCAATTGCTGGGTCATAGGGCAGGTCTATTTTTAACTCTTTGAGGAACCTCCACACAGTTTTCCAGAGTGGCTGCACCAGTTCACATTCCCACCAACAGTGTAAGAGGGTTCCCCTTTCTCCACATCCTCTCCAACATTTGTGGTTTCCTGCCTTGTTAATTTTCCCCATTCTCACTGGTGTGAGGTGGTATCTCATTGTGGTTCTGATTTGTATTTCCCTGATGGCAAGTGATGCAGAGCATTTTCTCATGTGCGTGTTGGCCATTTCTATGTCTTCCTCTGTGGGATTTCGGTTCATGTCTTTTGCCCATTTCATGATTGGATTGTTTGTTTCTTTGCTGTTGAGTTTAATAAGTTCTTTATAGATCTTGGAAACTAGCCCTTTATCTGATACGTCATTTGCAAATATCTTCTCCCATTCTGTAGGTTGTCTTTGAGTTTTGTTGACTGTATCCTTTCCTGTGCAAAAGCTTCTTGTCTTGATGAAGTTCCAATAGTTCATTTTTGCTTTTGTTTTTTGTTTTTTTGCCTTCGTGGATGTATCTTGCAAGAAGTTACTGTGGCTGAGTTCAAAAAGGGTGTTGCCTGTGTTCTGCTCTAGGATTTTGATGGAATCTTGTCTCACATTTAGATCTTTCATCCATTGTGAGTTTTTTTTTTTTAAGCGTAAGACATTGTTTTAATCATCCTCTTTGCAATTCTTAGATCATTTAAATCTGAAAATATATCTTTGTTTATACTTTAAAGACATTTTCTTTGTCATAATTTCATCTTGTTTATGTTTTGTTTTTCTATTCTTACTTGAATAACTTCCTGGTGGTATAATATTAGGCTCCTGATTTTTTTGTCCATATCTCATGTATTTCACCTTTTGAATATGATAGTTAAAAGCAGGGGTCAATATTGATTTTAGGAGTAAAATCCAGTGGTTCATCACTTATATACAATACCCAGTGCTCCTCATAACAGGTGCCCTTCTTTTTTTTTTTTTTTTTTTTTTTTTTACACAGAACAAGAAATTTTACTATCTCGAATGCTGGTGCATAACCAATGACAAGCATAATTAGAGGAGGAGACAGAGGGAAACTTCAGATACTGAGGTGGATTTCTGGGCAGGTTTTAAAACCTTTAAGGGTTGAGGGCATAATTGTTCAGTCTTTCTTTTTGGATGTAGGGCTTTCCTTTTACTTGACATTTTCACTTTAACAGTTCTTATATTATGAAGTTCAACCAAAGTCCTTCACCTGTAAGTTAAATGAAAAACAGAGAGCAAGTAAAACAACTTCTCTAGTATGTAAGAGTATCAGAAATAGTCTGTTCTTTCACATACATTTTAATGTCTAACTTTGAAATTATGGACGTCTTAATTTTTGAGTTTTAAAAATGGCAAGACAAATTTTCTTGAATTATAGATCATAGTAGCTTTATAAATGATCAAGATACATGTACAAACAAAATTTCAGATGCTCTTGAAAACACATTTTGAGATAGATCACACATGACACATATTTCTTCTTGGGTTTATCTTTTTGGGATAGTGAAGAATACCCATTTTTTTTTTTTACACTAAAAATTTAGCCTTTGAACACTGGCTTGGACAGACCACAAAGTGGAACCTCCAGAGTTCCCTCAGTGGGCTTTCAGTCCAAACGATTCAGACATCTTGTGTCCTAAATTGGATGTTACTACTTTTTCTCACGTAATTGGTATCAGTGGGGGTCTTGTACTGGCAGTTTGTCTTGGTCATAACTTATTCTTGCAAAACCATTCCTTATAGTGAAATATGAAAGGCATTTTCCCCAATGCAAGGAAAATAATCGGGATCAGTAACAAAGTCTAAGCGGCAGGTGTTTCAGGAACATTCTTGAAAACAGATTTCCTGGCTGGAGGTTGCGCCGCGAGTACGATGTCGGAGATGAACGAGCTGTCCGAGCTGTATGAAGAGAGCAATGACCTGCAGATGGATGTGATGCCCGGCGAGGGTGACCTTCCGCAGATGGAGGTAGGCGGCGGGAGCCGGGAGCCCTCCCCGAACCCCTCCCGCCACGGGGCCCAGCCGCAGCTGGAGGAGGAAGGCCCAATGGAGGAGGAGGCGGCCCAGCCAATGGCGGAGCCGCAGGGGGAACGAGGCCTTGCTCCCCGGCCCAGCCCGGGGGAGCAGCCGGGCCAGCTCGCCGGCCCTGACTTCGAGAGCGAGGACGAGGGTGAGGAGTTTGATGACTGGGAGGACGACTACGATTATCCGGAAGAGGAGCAACTGAGCGGTGCCGGCTACAGAGTATCCGCGGCCCTGGAGGAAGCCAACAAGATGTTTCTGAGAACGTCCAGAGCCAGAGAAGCAGCCCTGGATGGCGGGTTTCAAATGCATTACGAGAAGACCCCGTTTGATCAGTTGGCGTTTATCGAAGAGCTTTTTTCACTTATGGTTGTCAATCGCCTGACCGAAGAACTCGGCTGTGATGAGATTATTGACAGAGAGTGATTACATGCTGTTAAAAGAGGAGGAAGCTACTTGAGGAGAGACCCGACATTCCACGGTCTTTTGGGCTCATTCCAGATAGATAGTAACGGTGCCAAGGAAAAAAGTCGATCTTCAAAGAAAATTTTTGTTGTTGTTGTGCAGAGTAGAATAGGGGCAGTGACTGCGCTCTTATGAAAGCATTGTTGGAGAAGAAGAAGAAACATATCAGGACTGTGGAAATCTGTTTTTTTAACAGGTGCCCTTCTTAATCCCCATCACCCAAATAGCCCATCTCCCACCCACCTCCCTCCATCAACCCAGTTTGTTCTCTGTAATTAAGAGTCTGTCTTGCATTGTTGGTGGGAATGCAAACCAGTGCAGCCACTCTGGAAAATGGTATGGACTTTCCTCAAAAATTTAAAAATAGAATTTCCCTACGATCCAGCAATTGCACTACTAGGTATTTACCCAAAGGATACAGAAATACAAATTCAAAGGGGTAAATGCACCCCAATGTTTACAGTACCACTATTAACAGTAACCAAACTATGGAAATAGCCCAAATGTCCACTGACTCATGAATGAATAAAGAGGATATGGTATATATATATGTACCTTTTATATATCATAAAACAATAAGTAATTGTTTTCTTATCTGTAAATTGAAAATAATAGAAGCTAGCTTTTAGTAATGTAGAGGATTAAGTGAATTGATAACAGGAAGCCTGTTTATAATAATGCCTGGCATGTGTAGCATTTACCACTGTTAGCTCTTATTTCTCCTTTTTTTTTTTTTTTTGAGGGAGAAAGTGCTCATGTGTGAGCAGGGGTGAAATGGGTAGAGGGCAGAGGAAGACGAAGAGAGAGAACATAGGGCTCGATTACACATCCCTGAGATCATAACATGAACCAAAATCAAGAGTCAGACGCTTAACTGACTGAGCCACGCAGAAGCCTCCCCCCTTATTTCTCCTATTTAATTATTTTCTGATGTAGTTATTTGAAGTTATCATTCAGCCACTCTATTGAATTTTTTAAAATTGTTTTTTAATCTTGGAGAATTTTTTCATGGTCCCTGATTTTTGTTTTGTTTTTTTTTTTTGTTTTGTTTTCTTGAATGTATAATGTCTTCTTAAATTTTAAGGAGCATACTGTATATTTTTAAAAAGTTAATTTTAATTTCTTGTATTATTTGTTTACTTTGGGGACAATTTGGTCTTTCTCATTTGTTCAATTAGATTTTCGCACATATGATGATCCCTGCTTACTTTTTCATATTCAACACAGTGTAGGTGTTGTGGGTTTTGTTCAGTATTGAACAGTTTCATCTGTTTTACAATGGGCATCTTTCCAGTGTAGGCAGTCTAACTGAATTTATACACAGTGTATATAAGAGGTCAAACTTGAATTCAGGATAAACACAATCCAAATGCCAGAAGAAGAGGGCTTTGTTTAAGATATCAACACTACTGATAGAAATCACACAGTTTCTTTTTTTTTTTTTTTTTAAATTTTATTTATTTATGATAGGCACACAGTGAGAGAGAGGCAGAGACACAGGCAGAGGGAGAAGCAGGCTCCATGCACCGGGAGCCCGACGTGGGATTCGATCCTGGGTCTCCAGGATCGCGCCCTGGGCCAAAGACAGGCGCTAAACCGCTGCGCCACCCAGGGATCCCAATCACACAGTTTCTTTAGGGAAGAACCTTCACCTTTTTCTCCTTAGGGATTAGAGTTGAGTTGTCTACTTCTATGTGTACTGAGGATTAAAGAAGGAGCAACTAGCACTGTTATTCCGTAGTGAGGCCTTGTAAAATCTTCTTCCCTTTATTTTCACATTTTACTATGGTTTTTCTTTTATCTTTCAGCTCAGAAATTATGGATCTTTGATCAGCAGAGTGGCTAATACTGTGACTGCAGAAATGTTTTTCATTGAAGGGGTTGGCAAACTATAGCCATGGGCCACCTGTCTGTTTTGGTGAAGTTTTATTGGAAAACAACTGCATTCATCCTTTTAGATATGATTGATGGGTGTTTTGTGCTACAACAGCAAAATTGAGTATTTATGACAGACTGTATGGTCCTTCAAGACTGAAATATTTACTCTCTGACCCTTTTCTAGAGAAGGGTTATCAGCTTATCCCTACTTCACTGTGTCATGTATTTTGTAATTTTCTGAAGTTTGTTAACATCTTTTGCCGGATGATGATTCCCATTTTTTATAAGTTTGTTTTTTCTTATATGTTTATGCTTTTATCTCAATGTATTTACTGAGGGACATGAGATATATGTAGGTCTTCATTCTTCCATTTTGGACTTGAAGCTTCTTTCGTTTTAAATTCATTGAGTTCACATTGAGTCCATTATTTTTAATCATTTCCACCTTCTAATTCTATAACCTTTAATTGAATCATATCTTGTTTCTCTCTTCTTATGTGTTGTTCTTCAAAGTTTTTGGCTTGCTTTTTTCTCTGCTTTTACTAATACCCCCCTTATTTTCATCATTCTCTCCTTTAGAGCCATGACTTTCCCTGATTATAGATTCATTAGTTTCTAGATTGCTTACATCCATTGTTTTCAGATAACTGACAATTTGAAGCATTCTAACACTTTTGCTATAAAATTAGGAGAAAAGAAATTCAGTCTTTTCTTTTATCTTCTGGAGGATGTGGAGGTTTCATCAAGTAACTTACTGTTTTTAAGGTAAATCATTTAATCCTGACAGTCATATAGTTAGCAGTTTAAGAAGTAACGTACTATTGGATCAAAGTCAAATTTGTGAAGTTTTCTTTCTCTAGACAAGTAGTTTTGTATGTTTGAGATTCAAATATCAGTTAACTTTGTTCTTATCTATTATGGTAATAAAAAAAATCTCTGGTTGAGCTGTCATTGAATGCATTGGCTAAGTGAGATTTCAGAATTGGTAGTAGATTTCAGTGTAACTTTTTTTGTTTTTTATTACTGTCTCTGGATAATTAGGAGCTTCTGTACTCACTACCTTCATATGGATGGGGTAAAGATGAATGAGACAGGTGTATATAAAATGCTTCTAGGATGGCAAGAGGATGTCCTATGTTAATATAGACCTCTTTTAAGAGAAAACCATTGTTCCCTGCTTCATTCAACTTGATTATGTAAATGGGGGTGGGGGTCATTTTCTCCTTACTGTTCTTCAGGTCTCATTGGGACTCACAACATATTCACATTTTGCAGTTTGAGAACACCTGAATTCACTGATGCTTGTACCAGAGCTTTGAGAGTAGAACTGTTGCAATTCAGGTGACAAGCTGTGAAGAATCCATAGTTGACTTGGGATGCACGAAAGCCAGAAATAAACTTGATGTCATGACGGCAATCACTGAAATTTAATCAAAATGTATATAAATTAGTCATTTCTTATAATAAACACATACTCAAATATATATATGGCAAATATCTGATTTGAATTATATATATATATATATAGTCATCCATTCCTAAGAGAATGAAATGAGAATAAATGAGAAACGGAAAACTGGTTTACCAGAACTGTCCTTGTTATTATAATTTAGGTTTGAAGTTTTTGCAATGATTGAAGTCCTACACTATTCCACTGCACCTCTTATAAGATGTACTCAATGATGTATCTTTCAATCTTAATTTGAATAACTGTAGTTTTCTTTCACTTGGAAGGATTTTTGTATGAGTCTGTTCACATACTGTATATGTGGACAGATATAGTTAACTTCATTGCTGAGAAACTGGAGGTAAAAAAAAGTTTTAATCATTTGGTCACCATGTAGATATTTACATAATTTAATCACACAAACTAATTAAATGTCAGGCCATTTGTAATACAGAAATCAAGCTATGACCATAGGTCATCAGATGTAGTAATTAGATATGCATGTATAATCGAGTTAGAATCATATTGAGAAAAAAAGCAACATCAAGACAGGTCATTTCTTTGTTCCTAATTACTTTTTTATAGTTTTGAGTTGATTTATTGGCACCATTAAGAGCTGCACAAATGTGTAAATGTGTGTGTATGTATCTCTGTGTGTGAGTGTTTTTTAATTGGGTTTATTATATGTCAAGTCACAGTTTTCAAATGAATCTTTTTGATGTTTGTGGGAGAGTTAGTTAGGAAATTAATGAGAAGGGTAAACAAATAGCATATTTTAAGCCTATGCTGAGCATACTGCTTTTTGATTCTGCTACAGCTCAAGTGAGCCAGGAACTTTAATTTTCATATATTGCCCAGAACTGAACAAAATATAAGAAGAAAGCTCAGCAAATAATAATACAAAATTTTCCTTTATGTCATTAATTTACTTTTTATTAAGTTAACTTTCAATAAAAATACATTATGTATCAAATTCTTTGGGGGTCAAGAATAGATGTAAACATAACATTAATAGATAAGCTAATGTTATTTGTTTTATAAGATCAGGCAAAAACATGACAATAGTTTATTAATATTATTCATTCTTTTTTTAATATTATTCATTCTAAGCAAACACAAGATATAATTAGTAGCAAGTTAGTTTTTAGAAACCTTATAAAATAGAATGAGATACAATTATTTTTATTTTTAAATTACAATACTTCTTTTTGACTTATTGAAGGATTTGCTTTGGTTTAATTTAGAGAATTTTGCTTTAGCTTGTTGTTGTTTAATAATGTGTGTGAATGAAAACAGCCACAGGTAATGGAGCTCTCAGGAAAACAGCTGACTTCAATAAGATGGTAGAGTTCTGTAACAGTAGGAGACCGTTATTAAAGTGGTTTTGAGGGACAAGGATGACATCTTCATTTTAAGCTTTCCACATTAAGTAAGAGAGAGCCTTCCTTCATCATGGGAGATGGATTTGACTGGCAGGCATTTTATAACCAAATCTACATTTTAGCAATGTGTATCATAAAGATTTTCTAAGCAATTTAGACAGATGATGTTTTTAAAAGCCTGAAAAAAAGTCAAATATGGGTAACGGGGTTTTGAAAGCAAATATCTGATTTGAATTAATGATTAAAGAACAAAGAAATATCTAACATATCTGTACATTTAATTCTATATAAACAAAGGAAACATCACATATCAGAACTTCAAATAAGATAGAAGCACCCAAGAATAGCAAAGAAATTTAAAGAAAGATTGTGAATAAAGGGCAGCAAGTGAATAATCCTAATGAATATTTAAACATACTTTAAAACTATAATATTTAAAATAATTTATACTCATGCATGGATAAATGATGCAGCG